TCAACTGATTTTTAAGGAATTAATTAGCAAAAAAGTGAAAATCTTAATTCGAAAACAAAGTCAGAGACTGGAAAAAACGTGGTGTCAAAAGAGACTTCAATAATGTACCTTGGGGCTTTTATAACAGTGATCACTGATTAATGGCTGGTGATTAAGATAAGGGGTTCTTAAGCAGTGGGGGTGATGAGGCTTTTCCGTCAGTCATCAAAGAATGGACCGGAGTTTCTCTTAGAAGACCAGGCAGCTCTAAAATAAATAAACAACACAAAAGTTTACAATATCTAAAAATGTACACCACACACAATAGCATATTCTTAGAAAAAGTCTACCATTATACAGTTAAATAATTACAATGCCAAAAAAGGACCAAAATGGTTGCATCAACATCAATACAAAAATGGAATTATTCCTCACAACAAAGGCCAGAAGAAAATAGGGACCACCAGCCCAGTCCAATCTCTAGTTCCCATTAGAAGACTAAGTAAAGAAGAGTTTCAGGACATTGTACGCCCACAGGAAAATGGGGTGTTTGCAGTTATAGATGCCAAGAGCCGAAGCAGTGAGATCCGGGCCAAGTGTGGTCCAGCCAGTAGACACCTACATGGAATCTGTGTCAGATGACCCGAATTCAAAATTTTACAAAGTACTTCACCAAGAAAAAACTGCTAAATTATGGAAAAATGCATTTAAAGAACACTCACATAAGTTTCCAGACTGTGATGGTCCACTGGACTTGAATCGGCATGGAAAGGAAAAACGAGGCCTGGCATGGATCCTTTCCGATCCGATGTAAGAAGAGCCACTATACTTATCACCGAGAAAAGCTCTACAAAGAGGTGAGAAGATCTGGCAGGGGACGAGGAGCTCTACAGCTGAATGTGGCCATGGCTGTCGGTCAACTGGGTACCAGTCTTACAACAGAGTGCGCATGATGCAACTTCCTGGATGGTGTGTAGTCTGTTTGTCAACATGTGAAACCCACGTGCATTTCGGGGTAGGTTAGTTTACTGTCAGTTTTCTTTCTTAAAAGACCGTTCACGGTAGCCTAGTGGTAGAGCGTTCGCTTCGTGATCGGGAGGCCCGGGTTCGATTCTCGTTCACGGCGCCGCGTCAAACCTAAGACGTAAAAATAGGTAGTGATTGTTCCTTCGCCAAGCGCTCGGCATCAGAAGTGAAAGTCACGGGTCTTTCGGATATGACCTTAAAAACGTAGGTCCCGTGTCACGGTAGGCGCTGGCACGATAAAGAACCCTCACTGCTCAATGGCCCTGAGTGCCGAGTATAGGTCTAAATTTGAAGCCCTTCACCGGCATACGGTGACGTCTCCATATGAGTGAAAAATTCTCGAGAGGGACGTTAAACAATATACAATCAATCAATTAATCTTTCTTAAAAGCCGCATAAGGCATATTTTTTCTGATCTCAAGTTTTTGTTTAAGCTTTAATCTTTATTTTCTCTTTCATGAATTTTCTGCTGAGGGTCTAATTTATTAAATATTTTAATTCAAGCTATCTAGTAATATGTAGTGAATTTTTTTCCTAGTGTGAGACCTAAAGAGAAACAGTTAACTCTCATTTTCACTAAAAATTCTCTGACTTCAGGAGTTGTTTCCCCTTGAAAAGATCAATAATGGCGGATAAATAATGCGGCATGCAGTCTGGTCACCAACGGACAGTTTTGACACCCGTATTTCTTCCAATTACCTCTGTAACCTTTTTTGTGTTCATCACACAGGTAAGAAAAACAAGATTTTGAATTCAAATAATTTTAATGAGCGAAATAATAAAGAATATAACATTTTTACATGTACAGACTTTCTCGTATAAGAAAATGTCACATATTACACGTACAATTATACATTTATTCACATGTCCACATTTTCTCCATTTACACAGTTGAAAATAATCAATGCATAATGAACCATAAAAACAATTATTACATGCAAGATAGTTCACAATATATATTTTAAATACAAATTTTATACATTTGAAATGCATGTACATATCATCAATGCCCCCCCCCCCCCCCACCCACACACACTTCACAGTCTTTCAACTTCCTTTTTTAATTTTGGATCTGTCAATGAATTACTGTAAGTGTCTTTAGATTTTTTTATCATACAGCTGTTATCTTTTAGATCTGTGGTATTTTCTTTGATATTACGCGTCAGCGGAGGTTGACAATGGTTTTCCGAGGGGTGCCAATTTCAACTGTTACCCTCCAAAACAGGCACCATTTATTTTATTATACTGAATGTCTTCTTGATTTAGGATGTCAGCAAAAAATATCGTCGATCGTCTTTACGTTCACGTTTAGAAAGCTTTCAAACTCCCCGCTACTTCAAAAAAGATTTACTGACCTCTTTATTGTTAATTTGATACTCTAAGTCCTTTATCATCTAAAGGTTCGTTATTTCTGTACTCTCAAGCATGTTTCGTCTGTCGTTTGTTGTTTTCATGAAAGCTACTTCGGAGACGAGCTTTTATTGACGTCAAATTTATTCCTGTTCTTTCAAACGCGCAACTGACGTTCTGAGATAATTCTACGGTGAACCGTACGCGCATTATTTCCACGCATGTGGCATTACCGTTGTGTTACCCGTTGCCACGTGTGTTGCTACGGCTGAGCAGATTGTTAACTGCGTCTAAACCAATCAGATTGTAGTATTTAACATGAAAGTATAATAATATATTTTAACAGTTTCTGTTTCATTTTAAAGGAATTTTGTCTATTTTGTTGTTGTTTTAGATGATGGACCACTATACTTCCTTTTACAACAGGTGCCCCTACAGATTCACAAAGTTCCAGTGTTGAGTTTCCATGACCCCTCTTCAGTGAGTGCACAACTTTATTCTACTTTCAAAATTTCTACTGCTTGTAATACATTTTGGATTTGATTTTAAATGAGCCCTATTTACAGAATCTTGTTAATATTTTAGTGAGGAGTTAAACAAGAACCCTATGTTTGTCTTTCTTTGTAAGATTATTATTAAGTTTGGAAACAAAAATAGACATGATTATTTAAGGTATTCCATGTCTAATGAGGTGATTTTGAACAATGTTAAATAAGTTTTATAGGTCATACATAAGGAAATAGCCAATCAAAATGAACTTATTCAATAAAAGTTCCATATATATATGGAGACAATTTTTTATTCTTTTTTCATTTTTGGCATTTTGTTTTAGGCCTACAGCATTAAATTTGGACTCATGTACTAGGAATATAATATCTTTAGCAGAATTATCCCAATGAATAAAAAGGAACTCTTTTATAATTTTAAAATATTTTACGCATCATTTTATATATGTTATCACTTTCTAACACAACCACAAATAGATCGGCCGCTGCTTCGGCTGATAACAAAAAAAGAAAAATTTCAGGAGTACTGTGCAACAAAATATTCCAGAACTTGTGTAAGAAGAAGGAAATGGAGATAACATACAGTATTCAATATCAAAGTCCATACAACAATACAAAATACGAGCTGAGCAAACACGAAACACCTAAACATCAGAGATGGAATCAGGTGCCATGCAGTAATGAGCATCCCCTGCTGACCGGTCACACCCGCCGTGTGCTCATTGTCACTAACAATGAAAAACGTCAATCAACATTTGACTCAGTAATAAATTGTATTTGCTGACAAGGTCATTGTATCGACCATAGAACTTACGAAATGATGACTTTAAACGAAACTGCTGATATTCTTGTTTCATCAACTTGCTTGTCAATTTTTTACCTCGTTTTAAAAATTGTTCATACGTAGAGCATGCTCTTGCGTATAGAATCAACTGAGATATATATACTCTGTATGCACGTGAAGACGGTTCAATATAAGTTTATTGTATTTAACAAGTTTCCTTGTTATCAAATGGATTTAAAACACACACAGAAACTTTAAATAATACTAGTAATAGTCCCTGCAAGTGCTACTACGATTTTCAGTCATTCTTAGTGGGACATGGTCATAAGGAAAATATTTAAAATTATCAAAAACACTACTTCAAACGTTTTGTTCATAGACTTTTTTACTGCAATATTTATTATTTTTATTCAAACTCGATTTCTTTGTTTTTAATTGACATAATATATTAAACCCACATTTGGACAAATAAAGGCGATATAGTATTGTTTTCAAATAATCGTTCAATAATCTACTATCATTATTTTTGAATATTTATTTTATGTCTTATTCACATAGTTTTCAATCCTTAATATGATGAGAACATAATAAAAAAAATAAATATTAGAATATGTACATTTTACCCGCAAATAATTGTGAAGGAAAGAAAGAGTAGTGTTGTTTTAATAGACTGATTTTATACACATGCAAATGTACACTGTATCATTAACAATTCATGTGAAAAATTAGCAAAAAATAAGATAATTAATACATAACATTTCATAATATAATTATTACAAACAAGAAACATAACCTTTAAGTGATCTATGACTCAGACAACATATCATCAGTATTCAACTGAAAATTTCATATATAGAAACTTGATTTTTTTTATTATTAAATGAGATTCATGTTATTTCACTTATATTTTCAATACTCAAGTCATTCTGCCTGGGTGTTGACGCTGTACGACGTACATCATATATTAAACCGAATGTCAGTTCATTTCGGGACACCGTATATTTCTCAAAATATACATAAATGAGCTCAAAATTGATTAATTTTTTAATTGAACTTACCTTGGGTCCACGAACATGAATACAGACGATGATAGTATGTTTATTAGTATACATGTATGTGAATAGATATGAATAGAATGTAAAATTATGAAGCATTTGAAAAAATAAAATTTGTGGGCGAAAGTGGACAACTCTTTGAAAGGATTTCTATACTTTTATCTTACTTTTGCTCCTCAAAATTGTATAAGATGGAGTAAACAGATCTATAATTATAATTAAATATAATTGTAATTATATCCTGCGTATGTCTGAATTTTGTTTACATATATCTAATATGACAGTTATATGACCTGTCATCTAGCTCTGCCTCTCAATGTATCTGTATATACGCACTCTGTTGTTGACTCTAGTTCCGACCCAGAGAAGATGAGCTTTGTAATCATAACTTAGGCTCCCCGGATAGTATATCCCTTGGTCTTGTGTCAGTAACAGTGACAAGAAATTACCATCTTTGTCAATCATCTGTACTGTGTGGTTGTTAGCATCACACACCAGGATGTTTAACAATGCGTCTGTACAGATTCCTAGTGGCTCTAGTCGTGATTTTGATGGAGGTCCTTTGTAGGAGAAGCGATAACGTCCTCCATGCTCTGTCACCACTAAAGCACTGCGAAGTATGTCAGAAACAATGACATCTCCATTGCGATTTTCTGTGATGTAGATCGGTTTACTATAGAGATTCAAATGTGTTCGGTTGTGCACCTTCGTGATCAAGTTCGGTATCTGATCTGAGATTTTGTATTTTATTTTTTGTATGTGTTTTCCCGTTGAGTTATACCGTACTACTTTGCCTTCATCTGTGTCTGTATATTTATACATCCCGACCAGCAGATCTCCGTTAGAGGGAGAGCAGTAGATACAACGTGGTTCCCATGGTGTTGTTTTCTTTATCAGTATTGACTTCTTTCTGTAGTCCTTAGATAGTTTATTTATATTATCATACTTATCTATATATATAAGATCACTGGAAGTGTTTACCGTGTGTACTCCAGAAAAAATATTTTGATCTGTTATGTGATACAGTCTATCACCTGCTGTGTTTGTCAATAAGAGGGTGTCCTCCCAGCAATCATTGATCCAGACACGACCGTATGACACAAAGGAAATATGACTTACATGACCTATACCAATTATTTTGAGTGATCTGTGTGCCAGGGGTTTTGACATCTGTTTCAGAAGACATTCATTGCTTACTTGTCTTTTTCCAGTTTCTATGATTTGAATTTCACCTAATTCATTCACATCATCCATTTTGGTTTCTTCAGTCTGGGAGAGTAGGGCATGTTTTGTAAGTTCAAGAGTGTTCATCAAATTGGAGACACGGTTTCGTTTTAGGAAAAAGAGAAACTGTATCGGACTATATGCTGAATGTTCAAATATGTGTTCATAGTTTTCTATTTTCGTAAGGCGTCTCTTTGTTTTTCTTTGCTGATCCGGTAATCTATTAGTCATTTTATATAAAATATTATATAATACTGTGTCAATGTCCTTTTTAAGATTCTGGGCTTTTTTTGACGTCACTGACTGAAGGTAGGCAATTTCCTCAAAACACGTTTTTATGTCATTTTTTATTCCACCAAGGAGGTAATTGCTGTTATAAAGGGTCTCACTTCTGATATTGTGAATGATTTCTTTGGTTTGTTGACGGTTTCTTTTATATATTGATCTAATATCTAATGTTTTGTGCTTTTTGTGTCCTTTACATTCGAAACAGATTGGAAGTTTACATACGAGACAGAACATTTCATATATTCCTGTTGAATGTGTTTTACAAATTTCTTGTTTTGAAACGTTTTCATATTTCTCACGGTAAATCACAACATTATGATATATGGTCTCTAGGTCAGTTACATGTGTCTCTTTACACTGTAGACACAGGTCATGTTTACAAGTGTTACAGTAGAACTCTGTGTCCCCTTGGCATTGAAAACACTGTCGTACTTTACATCGTATAGTAAAGCTCTCTTCACCACGGTAGGTAATGTAGAAAACCAATTTATGATATTTTGTATCAGAATTTTGAGAATGTGATTCTTTACACTGTCGACATAGGTTCTGTTCACAAGTTTTACAGTAGAATTCTGTTTCTCTATGGCACTGAAAACACTGCCGTATTTTACACTGCGTGCTAAATCTTAATGTTGCCATAGTGTTGAGGGGTACAAAAACGTCATCAGAAATTCCATCAACTGAAATTTTATAACGAAATAATAAAAATATTTAGTATGAATAATTTTACATGCACATTCTTTTCAAATCAATATTAGAATAATACACAGCTTTTCATATTATGTTATCATAAAATAATAGAAAAACATGTTATCTTCTGTTCGATATTATGCAATTATGTCTTCAGTGTAGGTCGATATGTGGTAACATGTATAAGGACTCATGGCAATTGATAATGACCGAAGATATAGAAAGTGATAGCGACCGAGCCTGCAAGGTCGCTATCATTTTCTGTGTCTGAGGTCAATATCAATTGCCATGAGTCCTTATAACCACATATTATTCGTTCACTGAAAGTCATAATAGATATATTATATAATCACTCAAAGTGAATGCACTGACACAGTCCTAACAAAACAGACTTGGCTGTCATAACGTCTCAATTGGTAAATTCACGCTTCTTATATTATGACGTCACGTACTACGCAACTTTGGTGCAACCAAACGGCGTGTCATGCGATATCATTTTCCACGGACGCGCGTTTGCATCGATATCACAGAAGGAGAAATATCACGTGACGTAATTTCAGACAATTAAAACTCCGAAAATAATCTTTTTATATAATACGTCTTGTTTGAGGATAGGAGATTTTTTTTATTCGTTATTCAATGATGATATTTAAATAAAAAAAAAACCCTTATATTTCATTCTGATTATTCACATAACATTAACTTTAAAAATCTTATTCTAACTTATCCTAAAATTCATTAAAATATATACTGAGAAATAAAGAGGCTTAGTGTTCTAGTCAATTAAGACTCTTCTTTTTGTGAAACTTCATGATAAAAATGGATGGAGGATATGGACAGAACGAAAAGTATTTAATATCAAAGTCCATAACTTAATACAAAATAGGAGCAGAGCAAACACTGACCTCCGAAACATCAGAGGTGGGATCAGGTGCCATAGAGGAGTGAGATCCCCTGCTGATCGGTCATACCCGACGTTTGCTCATTGTCATGATAGGGAAATAACGGGAAAATCTGTCGTCAATTAAGTGTATAAATAATGGACTAACAATAAGTATGAAAAAAGTAAGTCAGCATTTGTCTCAATGATAATTTTATTTTATCTGACAAGGTCATTGTATCGACCATAGAATTTTTCGAAATATTGATTTAAACGAGACTGTTGATAGTCCTGTTTCATCTACTGGTACTTACCTGTTAATAATTTACCTAGTTTTAGAGATGGTTCATACGTAGAGCAAGCTCTGGCGTATCGAATCAACTGGGATATATACACTCCGCATGCAGGTGATGAAGGTATAATGTTGCATAAGTAAGGGAAGTTGACGATAGAAAAGTTAAAGTCATCACGTTTATACTATAGCTTGGTTGTTAGGTTACCATTAACGTCTTTTTCAAGTAAAATATCAAAGTATGAAACAGATGTGTCAGACTCTGTGATATCTTTTATCTCAAGCTAACTAGGGGTGGGACGATACACAGATCTTGCGATACGATAAGTATCTCGATATATTGGCACGATACGATACGTATCTCGATATTTTGATAAATTATAAAACTATTTTTAAAAATTAGTATTTTATTTCAATCATATGTGTCTTGTCATTTTAAAAGTCAACATCATGTAAAACTATTCAAAATAATTAGTATTTTATTTCTTTTCTTCTCTCTTTTTTTTTTTTTTTTTTTTTTTGCTTTGACATTAAATCAACAAATTATTCTATTTCAAATCATGTGTGCTTTGAAATTAATACTTGAAGTTCATCAAAATCATTCAATAAAACTTTACAAAAACAATAATACATGTACATATTTATTATTAACAAATTACTTTTAAGAAGTTGTTTACAAATAGTTGTGTAGTTCATCAGAGAACACGGACTAAAATTCATTTAAAAACATCACATTTACATTTTTATTAATTGCTGAAAGTCTGTAGCAAAGCTGAGATTACCAAAAAAAAAAATACGAGATGGACTAACAATTAATAATATCATATGCTCTGGAAACGATCCTTTCTGTGTATAGCACGCATTATATACTGCACTTTTTTCGTCAAATCTTCCGAAGCTGCTTAAAAATGGAAACATTTTACCCCTAAACAACCACTTATTAGTTCTAAAGTGTGTTTTCAATAATCAACATCAACTTTTCGCTTCGTACAAGCCGCCATTTTCCAAGGACATGTACTTTCATTTTCAATTTTGGATAGGTCGTTCGTGTATCGTTTCGTACCGATATTTGAATGCTTGTATCGTAAACCGTATCTTAGAGGAAAATATCGATATGTATCGGTGTATCGGTATATCGTCCCACCCCTAAAGCTAAACAGAATATATTGTATCGACGTAGGGATGGAAATGATCATTGTTAATTGACAATGCTTCGTCGATGTATCTAAATGTCGAGTTGAAAGCCACGGCAAGTGTTTCCTTCTTTTCATGCATTAGATTTTGCACAAATCCTGCTTCATCTGAATATAAGGATATGTCTGCTAATAACGGAGCGCAATTGGTATCTATGATAACATTTCATTGCAAAATTTGTGGATAATCATTTTTGATTCATTCATTTTTTTTTTTTGTTTGTTTGTTTGTTTTTTAAATGTTATCAATAAAGAAAGATTAAATCCATTATGCTGTTCAAGGCTGCTTATTTGATTGTCGCCTGATTAAGTACACTCCTTCGAGATCAATTCAAGATTTTCTTCGAAATAGGAAACATATATGGTCTAGCTAGCACTTCAAGTCATAAACGAAATTGTTTGGTCGAAAATTAAATGCTTGCAATTTTTTAAGAATATTGTTCTGAATATTTTTATATATTGCTTTTCAGAATATTCCCCCTTTCGGTTGAAAAAAAAACAATGTAGAAATCCTATTATAGATCCTATTTGTGTAATAACTTATCAAAATGTTATGATATTTTGTTGCTGATTGTAAAGATAAAAACAAATTGTGCTTCAACAATTTATAATCTTTGAACATGTATAAGAAAAATATGGAGATAACGAACAGTATTTCTATCTCAAAGTCCATAAAACAATTTAAAATAGGAGCAGAGCAAACACGAACCTTCAAAATATCAGAGATGGGATCAGGTGCCATGGAGGAGTGAGCATCCCCTGCTGACCGGTCTCATCCACCGTTGGCTCCTTGTCATGATCAGGAAATAACAGAAAAATCCGTCGTCAATTCAGTGTATAAATAATGGACTAACAATTAGTATGAGAAACGCTATAGGATAAACGTGATGACTTAAATTTTTCTATTGTCAACTTCCCTTACTTATGCAGCAATATACCTTCATCACCTGCATACGGAGTGTATATATCTCAGTTAATTCGATACGCAGGAGCATGCTCTACGTATTAACAATTTCTTAAACGAGGTAAATTATTGACAAACAAGTTGATGAAACAAGAATATCATGTCTCTTTTAACTTCATCATTTCGTAAGTTCTATGGTCGATACAATGACCTTGTCAGCAAATAATATTTATCATTGAGTCAAATGCTGACTGACGTTTTTCATACCCATTGTTAGTCCATTATTTATACACTGAATTGACGATGGATTTTTCCGTTATTTCACGATCATGACAATAAGCACACGGCGTGTGTGACCGGTCAGCGGGGGATGCTCATTTCTCCATGGCATCTGATCCCACTACTGATGTTTCGGAGGTCCGTGTTTGCCCTGCTCCTGTTTTGTATTATTATACATCATTTTAAATGGACGAGGCCCTCGGGGAATATGATTTTTCTTGGCTGAATAAGTCTTCATAGTTCCCTCACTATCATGCAATAAATGTATATTGTTTTAAGACTTTGATATTGAATACTGTTCGTTATCTCCATATCATTCTTATGAGTGAAAATCAAATGGGGTTTTGGTTACATTTTCAATAAAGATTATTTTAAAAATTAGATAGGATTGCTGAAAAAATTAAAACGGAAAAAAAATCAATTTAATTCACTTCAAAATTCATGCATCTGTAATGCGTTTGTTTTTCCTTTCAGTATATATCTCAATGGTTGATGTAGCGTTGATATACCTAATGGAGACTACGAAATGGCCTCAAACAAAGGCTGAAACTTGAGATTGGTTTTACAATGTTTAGTATAGGATTTACCAAAAAATATGTGAAAAGTATGAAAGGAACAAAATTCTTACACAAATAATTTATCAAGATTTGACTAAAATAATATTAAACTTAAAAATCTAATAACGCATGACAAATTGCGAGGATTTTTAAAGCCTGTTCATTTTGTTTGTATGCAAGGAAGAAAAATCCTTCCGCAGCTACATAGTTAATTATCTTCTTTCTATTCCATTTAACTGCATTTCATCAAGCATTGGCGTTTTTGAGATCGGGTACGAACAGAAAATTGACACAAAATTTGATTTATTATGCCATTGGAATGGTTAATCAAGTATATTCCAACAAATTATTTCGAGGTTTTTATCATTCCTGTCAAATCAACAAAAATAGGAACGAGACTGAAGATAACCACATCTGTCCTACTATGAAAATAAAATGTCTTCCATTTTCAAGAATTCATCGGGAAAAAACCCTTTTTATTCAGTTAAATCTAAATGCTAATACAATATTTCTCATTCCATCCAATTGTAATTTAATTTCTTAAAGAAATAACATGAATACACTTACAAATTTATAAAGCCAGGAGTGAATCAAATGAGGATATTTTTTGCTAAACACCCGAATGTTCAATATCTGATTATCCCTGAAAGTTTAAATGAAATTACTTATATGTGAGCTAACTTCCGGTTTTTAGGCCGGTGTAAAGACGAATGATGGCCCCTATAGAATAATAACTGGGTGTCATTTTTCGACGGTGCATAATGACTCCCAGTCACTATTTAAGGGCACAAAATGACCCTAGTTATCATTCGACGTCGAAAAAAGACCAATTTGCCCGTAGAAA